GCGCAGGTCTGCGCAGATATGCGCAAATCTGCGAAATGGTATGAAGTGTAAAATACATCTGCGTGGATATGCGCTGGTCTGCGGGCGTCTATGTATGACGTTTCTTCCATGTTAATCTGATTTGCTTCGACGTTCAAACATGTCCTCTTCACGCATGTCTCGACCGTTTCGTCTGCGCACACGGGCGCGCGAAACATGCCCAGTCTGCTCCATCGACATGACGCGGTCGCGCGCGTTCGTGCAAAGTCGAACAAGTCTCTCCTCCCTTCACGCGCGTGCTCCTTCCAACTATCACAAAGGTGCTCCACATATTTCACGTTCCCGGGCTATCATATAACTCTCAGACTTGTCTCCCAACCACCACCATCTCCCCCCGCTCACGTTTTCCCCATCCCGTACATGTCCCCCGGGTTTGCATCCCCTATTGCCTTTGACAGGAGTCTATACTGATGTTCTCAATAGATTCCGGCGCGAATGTTTGTGGGACCCGGGTCCATGGACTCAGAATGTGGTAGGTGGACTAACTGGCTGGGTATATGCGCTCGAAAAAGTGACAAGGCGCGTCCATTTCTCTTCAATCATAGTCCTATGTGTTTACTAATATGCCCGTATCTCAGAAGTCCGGGTTGCACTCGGATTTTGTTGCTAGGCAAGCATACTTTGCCACTAGTACAGATGGCGCCCAAACTAATTTTAATTTTGCATTCTCTCCCATCCGGATGTAGATTCCAGTGAATGGTCCGGCGGTGCGGCACTGCAAGCCCTGGTTTCGTTTCCAGGTAAGCGCATGTATTAACTGAGGGACTTGCGCGATGGAGGCGGTACGGGCACGCTGACACTAGGTATGGCCGGAGGAAGGGCGCGGGGATATGCTAGCTAAACGAACTGTACTACTTCGCATACATCGTCTCGGTAGGCCTGTATGTGTGTAGAAAGCAAAATATATTTATTTCCCCATGATTTATTGCAATAGCGAGTGCAAACGCGCGAGCGCATACCAGCGCAGAATCACACGTGATCGTTGCATATCTGCGCAGACTCGCGCAGATTCGCGCAGAGTCAAATCTGCATTAGTGTAAAAATTCTGCGTGTATCTGCGTGAATATGCGGTCGCAGATTTGCGCATATTTGCGCAGACTGACGCAGCGTGACTTTTGACTGGGCCTGAGCAGGCCACAACTTGCCACACGCAGGGGCAGGCACCGGCTCAACGGGCCGCAGTCTTCCTTCCATCTGCCTGGGCGCTCAGCAGACTTTCGCACTTCTGCCCATCGCGAGCCGCATGTACCTCGCACCTTGTAGCTCTGTTTTGGTTTGCGTGTCTCAATCGTGCTCAGCGTATGGACGGGCTGCCAGGAGACAGCTTACAGGTTAGCAGTCATGCCCTCAATTATAATCTTTCGAGCGATACACCTACTTGGTGACGGCGTCTTCCAATGTACCACCCCTTCTGCAGATACCAACTTGCGCAGTGGGAGACACACATTGTTGCCTCATTGCCTCGAGAACTCTGGGAAATCGGCGCCATCTTACCCAAATTTCGTCCTCGTGCATTTGATATAGCTGACGTAGTCCTCAAGTCTCGTGGAGCCAGCAGGAGCTCGCTCTGCGGTTCAGCAGCTGACAACTGGGGCTGCTTCCCCCGGCTTTCTCCACGTCGACATACAGCCTCCTGGGATTACCGGTTGACTTTCATGGGCGACATACGGTTGCCGGCCCACGTCCCTGCACTTCGCCGCGGGTCTCGGGCGTCTCTATGGCACATGAAGTCCACCTATTTCTACAGACACCGGCTGCTCGATTGCCCTTTTCGTATGTAGCACCGCTCTAGCATGTCTCATGGCTCGCCTACAATCTTGACTGCTGATCTCCTGGGAACCGACCCCAAAGCGTAGGGGCGGCTGAGCTAGGATCCTGCGCATCTGGAAATGAACGTGCATACCACAAGGCTCGCTGCTCCCGTACATAAAGTTCTCTCGTACATCTTCGCGGGCCCTTGACGATCCATCGCATCATCCCAACCACCCCGCACTCCGATCCGGTATTGGTAGAAACCTCCTTACGCCAACGATGGCCCCTGAGATCCGCTTCAACGCCCTCGGCATCCCCTATGTCGTTGAGTTTGCCAACGTCACCTTCCGCTCCCTCTCTCGGTCGAGTTCTCGTGCATCCATGTCCACACGCTCGCTCGCCTCCCGGCGAGACGCATCGGAATCCCGACCTTCGCTCAGCCTACGCCCCACCCCGAGTCGGACCACGCTCGACTCGAAATGGACGCTCGCATCGACAGCGTCTTCGGAGACCCTCACCGGTCCCCCACCCCCACCTGTGCCCAAAGACACTTTCGAGCAGGCGTCCCCAGAGAACGACGGGCTGTACATCCGCTTCGCGTCGCAACTCACGCAGCCGCCACGCAAGCTGTCCGTGAGCCGGCTGGCACGCATGAAGTACCGCATCGCGCATGCGGTGCTCGCCGCGGGTATGGACGCCTCGCCTGGGGCAGAGTGCGCGGATCCTATGGACAGCGCTTCCTCGGGGCTTTGCCGCACGTCTGTGAGCAGCATCCGCTCGGAGAAGGTCGAGCGCGACGGCGTGCCCGGGTCGCTCTTCCGCGGGACGTATGGGCAGGTCATGACCGCACTAAGGGCTGCGGGCCTCGCGGCGGTGCCGTGCGAGGAGTCAGGCGTGCAGGACGGTAAGCCTCGGTTTATTTCTTGGGGTATGTGCGTTGTGGGCTGACGAACATGATACCTAGCCACGCGTCTTGGGGCGCTGTTTGTAGCACACCCGAACGGGCGAGGCGGTGTGGACTTTACGAAGCTCACGCTGTGGGCATGAACCTGCTGGTCAGGGTGCGTAAGTCGACATTTGGGGCGACGATGTGTGCTGACAGTGCTCCCCAGCTCGTGCGTCAGATACACGCTATTTACGCGATATCTTTATTAGCCTTTGTCATGTTCTAGACATGCACTCTCGTTCTTTATCGTCGCCCTCCCAGTGACCAGCTGGTTACCCGAATTCCAGTGATCATTTGTAATATTAGCATATGTTCCTCAGAACGTTCGGGCGACGTAGCTATGTAAAACGCCATGTACTACAGCCAACCTGGGGTACCACCGATGTACGTTACGTGTCGCGATTCCCGGCTCCGCGATCTATATCCACAAGCAACCATCATCTTCAAGAACCCTTGGCACAGTGGTAGCGCGTGAGATTCCAGCTAGTGGAGTAATCCGCTCAAGGGGATTCCTCAAGGTCGTCCGTTCGATCCGGGCAGGGTTCACATTTTGCTCCTGCTCTGCCAGAGCCCGCGACCGTACCGCAAGTCCAAACAGCACCTTCGGTTTGTCTGTACACATACGAACAACTTCGTCAATCAGTATCCTCCGTTTGGTGCGCTAATGCGAATTTCAATTATCGTGTCGACATTCTGCGGAAGGGAGGACCTGGCTCTATACCGGCACAGCACCACATCAAGACAACCGTGACGTTTAGCTCCGGTCTCAGCATCACGGTAAACAAGAACATCCGAGTCGCGTTGAATGCAAGGGTAAATACCTGGCCTGCACTCTCGCACGCAACCATGTAGGTTGGCGAACGCGCGACAAATACAGGTCTCCCGAATGATGTAAGCAAGGCGATGAAATCACCGAGTTGGAGTCGGGGGCACCGGCCAACTCGGAAGGACAATTCTCCCGTCAAAGGGTAGGTTGATCCACTCCTAGCGACGAAAATCCAAGCTATTGCGCCGAAAGTGCGTGTTACAGGACGGACACAGGGGCGAAGCCGGTGAAAGGACCAACCCACCGTCGATGCACAGACCCAAAAAGATGCCGAGGGGATAGCGCAATCGCCTGACGTGCGCCGTGCTGCGTTCGCGCTTCGTCGCCGCGAGATGCTGTGAACAAGCCATGGAGGTGCTGCACGCCGATTTTTGCGCGTCCGCCTCAAGATGAGTGTTAAAAAAAACTCGGCACGAAGTGCGTAGACGCGTTCTCTGCCGTCCAGAGACCCGGCCGTAGGTCGTCCGTTGACAGCTTCTCCAGCGTCCCATCCGCCTACGCGATTTCCATCAGGAGTTTCGAGGCCTCGAGCTAAGAACACAAGTAAAGTACCAATGGGAGCATCTCTGGACGTTCAAGGTGCGGTTGAGGTTCACGGCCTTTCCGGCATTGATGCAGCGCGGTATGCCCAGCCCAGGATCGATCGTAGGTCTCAGTGAACGGCTCCCATTCGATAAAATCGTCGAGAAACCAGACCCTCATCCCATGGGCCGACACACGGATGCCAGAAACATCATACTTGTGTCCCACACGAGCGGGCGAGGCTGCATTGCTAAAAGGTCGCGAACTAGGCTCGGGGCTGAGGTACCTAGAGATGCGCGTTTTCAGTTAGAGGCATAATCATAGTGCCATCTCAGACGATACTGAACCAGAGAGCGGGGTGGGGCTTGCCTAGGACGACCATACAGAGCACAGAAAAAATGTTTGAAGCCATGAGTTAATTCGGTTACCTGTATGGCTTCACAACCGGCGTCACTGGTGTCGCCACCCTCTGGAGTCTGGATGTATAGAAGTAGGGAGAGGTATGGCGAGTAGATCGCTAAAAACGACCGAATGCTGACATATTCCGCTCAAGCTCTTGTGGATGCGCGAACCAAGGTACTTTTTGTTGCCTTACGAATGAAGGGCTAGAACTACAATGTTGCCGTCCTGGAACCAGAACTTGTCGGTGTCCAGTGTAGCGGCGTAGGCTCAACATCCACACATGTGTTACACTCACGAATGAAATATACCGACGGTTCGTTTCGAGGACCTTGTCTCCCCTAGGCAGACGATGAATGTGAGTTACGGAGGAGGGGAGACACTCACATGCGTCACTAGTACTTCGAAGACCATTATGATAATGATAAGCATGACGCCAGTCAACCGTCGCGGTATCCCCCGAACTTGGAGGTAGCTAATATGTGGTGATGTTTTAATGATTTCTTAGACTCCCATGAACCCTTGGCACAGTGGTAGCGCGTGAGATTCCAGGCAGTGGAGCAATCCACTCAAGGGGATTCCTCAAGGTCGTCCGTTCGATCCGGGCAGGGTTCACTTTTTGGTGCCACGCGCGCGGCACCTCCGAGTACTAGTACTAGTCTTGCCTGCCTTCTCGGGCTTGCACAAAAATTGTATTTCATAGGTATACCATCCGTAATTCAAAAAGGTCGGCAAATTATCGATGGTCGAAGCGAAGCCAAATATACTGCGAGCATGAACATGTACGTATACGTAGAGTAGGCTAGGGGGACGGTGGGTTGGAGTCCATAATGATAGCGAGCCAATCGGGAACCTCGAGCTCTAAATCGAGAATACCTGGTAGATCCCGCCACAACTGCTCATCAAACTCAGCATTCATCCCTTTCACATATCGTACACATTCTCGACAAAGGCCAAACATTAAAAGACTGGTGGGGTCCCCGATAGCCTGCGCAAAACATAACCGCATAGAAGACTCGCTATCAGGAAGCTGGGCTCGGCGTATAACTGTCCCCGCGCACGCCCACAGCAAGCGGAGCGCTGAGCTGCACTTCGCCGTATCGCGGCAGGTAGGACGGTGGGAGTCGCCAAGTCCGAGCTGCTCGCGGTTGAACTTCGCACTTCGGCGCTCTAGCCTCTCGCGCGCGACGAGACAGCGTTCAAGGTCGTCCGTGGACAAGTGCTCGACGATGCCGTCCGCTCGCGTGTAGCCATGAAGGAGAATATGGACGTCGAGGGTGGTGCACCAGTAGAGCGCGACGAGGAGCATTTCCGAACGTTCGCACTTGCGGAACAGGTTGACAGCCTCGATTTCCTGACCTGGTGCGAACTTGACGGTGCGGGATCGCCCCAAGACACCGCACTTGAGCCACGATGGCAGGTCGTCCGGGAACATGGGCTTTAACAGCGCCAGCGTGGCCTCCTGGATGTGTACGATATCATATTTGTGGCTTAGGCGTAGGAGGGCGGCAAGCACGCTCAACCTCGTTGAGGGTTCAGTCGGTATTTGCGCGCTGTGGACGCGGGATGTCAACGTATAGTCCCTCGCATGGTGGAAGATAGTAGGAGGAAAGAGACAATACTAACGTCATTCCATCATAAAAGGCCTGCAGCAGATGTCTAAAGTCATGCGAAGAGTCCTGGAGGCGCACGACCGGGGATCCGTCGATAGTCTCGATCTTGTCCACGTCCATCGGTTGCGGGATGGAGAAGAGATTACGGAAAGCCTCAGAATGGCGGGAGAGGACGCCTCGATGTACACGAAACGCTGAGGACTCTAGTACAAGGACAACGTTTCCATCTTCAAACCAGAACTCTTCGTCTTGGTAAGGGCACTCAGATGTCGGGCTTGCGTCGGACGAGTCGGTGTCCGCCGCAGACATGGATTACAGACAGATGGTTCCCGGCGCCCTCAAGGGCCTCGAAGGGAGATACAAGGATGGATGTGCTCAATGATCACGAGAGAGAATGATGGGTTCAAGAAGCGCTGCACCGCGACGAAAGCGTCCGCCCGATCTGTCTGTACTGTCGCAACCTGCCCACGACGCGCCGCCGGCACTCGTGCCTCTGCTCCTCGCCCGCCGCGCTGGTCGGAATGAACGGGAGCGTATTGGCCGGCGGGCGGAAAGGGGTGTTCCCCGCGTGGGTGGGCGTGAGGACAAGAGAGGGGAGTCAGGTCGTGCGCGCGTGAAGCGGCGCGATCGGAGTCGTCCCACCGATGGATGCGGGGTACCGTGGCGCCCCAACGAGCAGCACCAGCCCGAGCACGTCCCTCGGTCCTCCCCGCGTCGTACCATCTTTCGGCCTCTCCACGTCCTATCCCCGCCCTCTACCGCCCGCTCGTTCGACAAACGCCTGCGATTTTACACGACTGCCGGATACGGGCGCAGGTTGCACCCTGACACCAGCCTCACGCCTCACTTCGGGCTTCGCGAGACCGGATATTATACCATCCACCTCGGCTACTCGGGAATCGAGGACTACTCGTCGCCATATACCCCCGCGCGAACCTCTTGGAGTACTCGTCTGAGCCTCGTCAGCCCACCCCCTCGTTGCTTCGTTTTCATATACTTCCCGAAGACCACAACCTATTCTCGCCTCCCGACAGATAGGAGAAGCCATGCCCACAGCAGGACCATCGCTGCCCACCGCGCGGACCATCCAGGTCGACACGAGAGGGGCAATGATACTGGACGAGGAGTCGCCCGAGGTACGTCCGCACAACCCGCTCACGTCAATGAGAGCCCCTTCTGAGGTTCTCGCGATCTGCACCGTGCTCCGTTGTGCACCCGATTCCTCTCCGCGGCACCCTCCTCGCTCCCGCACCCGCCCGCCCAGACGCGCGACAGCCGCGGCATCTATTTCCCCAACTACATCGAACCCGTGTCCCACATCGCCGTCGACGTGAGTCCGGGGCCCCGTCTTGCGGTGCTGTGTGCTCAGGCGTGTACATCGCGATTTCCAGATCGGCGGGTCGCTCGCGAAGGTCATCTACTTCACGCGGTCGACAAATCCCCCATCTTCGCCCTCGCAAATCGCAACGCGAGGATCAAGTCCAAGCGACGTCTTTACCCCTTTGTCATCTTCACCTCCAAAGGAGAGCCCCCTATCCTCGCCACCACCATCGGCCAGACTCAATGGCCACCCCAAGGGCGCACTCACACCCGCAGTGCTAGAACACTGCAACTCCCATGGAGGCTATCTCGACGTCCCGAACCACCGGCATGAAGGCACGATCAGCCGCACCGACGTAGAGTCGACCGCAGCGTCGGCCTCGTCCACCCTTAACGGCACCGCTACCGCGTCGCTCTCCCCGGAATCGGTGAACCCGAGCTATCTGCACGACTCGCTCCTCCGGCGCGCGTCGGTGCAGCACTTCCCCGGGGGCTCGCTCAACTTCGAGCGGTTCGAGACGGAGCACATCGACGAGTGCGTCGCGTTCCTCCGCACGCTCATCGAGCGCTCGGCCGAGATCAACGGCGTCGCGCTCGAGGAGATGCGCCGCGGCGTGAAGGTGATCGCGACGGGCGGGGGCGCGCACCGCTTCTACGCGCTGCTCGGCGCGGAGCTGCAGGTGGAGGTGCACCGCGAGGACGAGATGGCGTGCCTCATCGAGGGCCTCAAGTTCATCACGCTCATCCCGGACGAAGTCTACTACTTCTCGGACGAGCTCATTCACTCGGTGTCGCACCCGAATCAGCACCAGCTCGAGCGGCCGAGCCCGGACCCGCCCAAGTATGCGGTGTCGTTTGTGCAGCACCCAGTGCCGCAGCTGCCGTGCTTGCTTGTGAACATCGGCTCGGGCGTGTCGATTGTGAAGGTGGACGAGGACGGGTCGTACGAGCGTGTGAGCGGGACGAGTTTGGGTGGTGGTACGCTCTGGGGACTACTGAGCTTGCTCACGCCTGCAACGACGTTTGACGGTGTGTGAATCCCGCATACGGGTATTTGTTGTATTCGGCTCACAAGACAACAGAAATGCTTGCGTTGTCCGAAGAAGGCGACAACGAGACTGTGGACATGCTCGTTGGCGACATCTACGGGTCCGACTACAGCAAGCTGGGGCTGAAGTCGACTATGATCGCGAGTACGTTCGGCAAGGTGTTCAAGAAGCAAGGTGGAAAGCGCGGCACGTTCAGCCCCGAGGATATCAGCAAGAGCCTGCTGTACGCCATCTCGAACAACATTGGGCAGATAGCGTGCGTTTCATTTCTCGTTCTGGCGTGTTCCTCTTCGTTCGTCGGAGAGTTTTTAGCGTGCCCCGGGCGCAGTCCTCCACCCCCTGTGGGCGACGATCTGCTAGTGCGCGACGCACGCTGACACCACCGATCGCCGCAGGTACATGAACGCGGAAAAGTACAACCTGGAGCGGATATACTTTGGCGGATACTTCATTCGCGGTACGTCATGCGTGTGCGAGACGCGCCACAGTGCGCGCTTGCGTTTGAGCTTGTGTGTGGCCGGGTTCTGATCGGTCGCTCGGTCGCTCGGGCGGGCGGGGCTTGCAGGTCACGCGGCGACGATCAGCACGCTCTCGTACGCTATCAGGTTCTGGAGCAAGGGGACGAAGCGCGCGCTGTTTTTGCGGCACGAAGGATTCCTGTAAGTGCCGTTCGGGATTCGCGCTGCCGCTGCCGGGGTCGCGGGCTGCTTGCTGATCGTGTCACGCTCGCGCGTGCGCGGGGATATAGGGGTGCCGTCGGCGCGTGGATAAAGAACATTGGGGAGGAGGGGGAGGAGGGCGATAGCTGACGTGCGCGGTGGCCGGTGGATTGAGAGGCGTGCGCTCCGGGAGGGTCCCACAGGGGTATATTTATCGGAGACGCGGATCTAATAGTGTATGTGTAAGTATAATACGACATATCCGCGGTGGCGTGCGTGGCATGCACAGCAGGGCATCGCATTTCCAAACTCTGGCTGACGTCGGAGGCAGATGGGGTGGTGTCCCAAATTTTGTTGGAAGGAGGAAGCGGCGGCAGACAAGCTTAGCTCTGCTTAGCTACTGCTGGTGCTGGTGCTGATAAGAGGAGGCGTAGTGGAGCGGGAATCGAGGCTCGTGCGGGGATTGGATGACGCGGGGAGGGCGTCATAGCGCCGGGCAGGAGGGAAATGGAAACACGTGGATCCAGATCGCGAGATCGAAAGCAGCGGCAGCAGCCAATGGCCGCAGCGGGCGTTGGCCGTTCCCAAGCTGCTCGAGCACCCAAGCACACCCAGGACCCTGGAAAATGCCTATTAAGGCCGTCCGGTAGGCGCCCATGCATGTCGACATTTTTGTCCGGACAGAATTTTCAAAATATGTCCGGACTCTGGCATGACCTCGAAATATCGGCGAAAATTGTCCGGATTTTTCGTGCGGCCCCTTCGGGGCCGAAGTTTTGTCCGGATGCCACCGGACGGCCTAATTTGCGGCTCATTTTTGTCCGGATGACGCCGGACGGCCTCAAAAAATCGCCTTTTTTCAAGTGTAGAGCTGCGAGAACGACGAAAAAATGGTCACAAAATGTATTCATGTATTGTTTGGTGGCAGTACATCTCGAGAACTGAGGGAGGAACTTGTCTGCGGGACTCATTTT